CCTGCCTCTGCTCTGCTGCGTGGGGAGCGCTGGCTACAAGCCGCTCGCTCAAGCCGATCCTTCAGCTCCTCCAGGCGCATCCCCAGGCAGAATATCTCCCCTTCCACTGTGCTGAAAGACAGACGCCCACCAGCACAAGCTGAAGTAACTGCCAGGAGCCAGCAAACAGAGCCTGGGCTGGGGTCCAGGAGAGCTGGGAAGGGCCAGGAGCAACCAGCTGCTGGACTTCGCTGGTTTGGAGAGAGCAGTAAGCAACTGTGCAAGATCCACGGGCCTCACACAACCCTTCAGTAGCCCCTAGCATCCCCATGAAATGCAAATAGGTAGAATAAATAAGCACACGTCCAGCAAAGCACCTCTATCCCACGAACCAGGGTGAGTTAATCAGCACTGGCTCAGTCCGACCCAATGAAACATCCATGTGTGCACCTCCCTGCAGGAACACATCCAGACAGCAGGGCTGCCATGCTCCTGTCCCTGTCCGAGCAGCATTTTCCTCCTTTGCATCGCTCCAGGGTACAGATGTGGCAACCAGCCTCCTTGCATGGGTACCCCACACGGCCAGGGCCCAGCTCCCTGCCTGGTGAAGCCAGGCAAGGCTGCAACCTTCACTCATGCAGGGAAATGAGGCAGGACAGGACCGTGCAATTTGCTGGTAGAAGCCAAGAGCGTGACACAGTGGGGAACTGATCCCTTGTCCCTCCCGTCCTGGGTAAAAACACCTACCGGTCTGGATCAAACTCCCCCGCGGCACCTGGGTGCTGCTGGAGCCTGCGGTTCTCCTCCCGGGCTTGCAGATATGTTCGCTCCAGTGCGTCTTGTGTGTCCTTCAGCTTCCTAAACCTCTGCAGCAGAAGGGCGGCACATCCAAGACAGAAATCTCAGGACCACATGCCCAGACCCATCCCTCTGCTCGGCTGCGGTTCCAACCCCATCTTTCTGTGCTGGGGTGACAGATCCTGTGTCACCTCGTCCGCACTCACAGCTACCCACTCTGTGCCCCTGGGGTGCCCACAGCCGGGCTGCCGCATGGACCCTCCACACCAGGAGTCTCAAATTAGTCCCCAGACGGGATTTTCCAGCTAAGCTGCTTAATCCCATGCTCAAATGCACCTCTGCATTGTCAGGGATGTGGCTGTGTGGTCAGACAGGCTGCCCGGAACATGGGTCTGACAGCAGCTTCTGCGAGCCTGTCTGTTCACCGCGGCTCCAGCCAGGCCCCAGCCCCAGAGACCTCGAGAGCTGGGACAGCGAGTCATGGCCACCACCCTGGCACACAGCACCCGTGAGAAAGGGCAGGCGAGGGACACTGCTCCGCTATGGGAGGATTGTTCACAAGGGCAGACACAAGCACAGCACAAGGCTGCCGCTGGCTACAGTGCTGCAGCCTGCAACAAGCAAAGCTCATTACACCCAAAAGAGAAAAACCTGGAGTCCCAGACAGAGCTACAGGCTGCCCGGCCACAGAGACACAGCAAAACTTTAGCTCCAGATGCTCTCGCCTGCAGCTGAACTGGGAGCAATCCCATGCAAACCCACCCCTGGGGTGCAGCCTGTCCCCTCTCCATTGCTGGTCCCCGCCACGCCTCCACCCCTGTCGAGGAACAGGCAGGGTGTGTGGTAAACCCAGGTGCCAAGAGAAGGAGATCAAGAAACGCAGCAGGCTCAGCAGAGCACAAGAGCCGCAGGGTGCTCAGGCATTACGGAGCTCCCAGGAAGGGCTTCTATACCTGGAGCTGCTCCTGCGGCGTGGACTTTCCTGCCTGGACCCAGGCTTCGAAAGACTCGACCTGGTTGAGAGAGAAACAGTTGAACTAAGCCCTGCCCTGGGAGGGACCACAGGGGCAGAAATCTATTTTCTCCTCCTGCGCGGGGCCTCTTTGCCACCCCCAACATCCAGCCCCAAGCTCTACATCCAGCCCCATTGCCCTCTCTGGTGGTTGCTGTGACCCAGCTTGCCTGAGCTTGAAACTTGTGGGTCTGTCCTGCCAACGTCTGTGTGAGCTGGGTGCCTGGGCACGGGTGCTGCCCCCGACACCCACACTCTCCTGAGCATGCAGAGCAGCCCATCCCAGGGACAGGGGGAGAACAGGGCCGAGGTGATGTCCCCGGGTTGACTGGTCCTTGTGCTGGCTCTGCAACAAAAGGCAAAGACAAGGTGTAGGTCACCCCCAGGAGTACCTGCTTTCTCAGCCTTTAAGCAAGACGTGATCCAGCCCTGGGTACAGGGTCTTGGCTGAAACTCCCCCAGTGCCATGGGGGGAGTGCAGTGAGCTGAAATTCCCCAAATCTGAGCAGACAGATTGGGGAAAAGCAGTTCCGCCTACCTCCATCCAGCAAGGGCTGCAGGGCTGGGGCAGGGGCAGTGCTGATGGCCGCTGTTCTTGCCTGTGGGATGCTGAAGGCCATGACCTTGGAGCCGGTCCCAAGGGTCCCCATGTGGACACTGTGGCTGGGCTTTGGCGGGTCAGCGTACAAGCTCACCTGAGAGGTGGGGAAAAAGGACTTGGAGCATCTAAGGGGGAAGAACTGCACCGTGGAGCAGGTGTCCACTGTCCCCCCGGCCCTCCTGCCATGCAGCGCTGCAGGAGGAGTTATGGGGCCAGCGGCTCTGTGGTGCAGCTCCTGCCACACGTGCCCGAGGGCACGAAGGCACCTGCAGCGCCATGCTCATGAGTTTGCCAACAAGCAGCTAAGCAACCTGCAGGGCTGGCACGAGGGCTGCAAAGGGCAGGCACAGGCACCCTCCACCGCCAGCACCAAGAGCCAAACCCTCATGTTAAGCTATTTTTTGTTGGAAAAAGCTCTTTTGCCAACTCCTCTTTCAGTACCAGGAGATCCACCCTAACCAGATGCTCAGGTTAGTCCTTCAGCCTGACCCTGCTCCATGCCCGGGCTTGCCCCTCCAGCCCTCTACGAGTAGAGGGTGAATTGCAGCAGTGCCAGCATCTGCCCATGGCCACCCACCTCAGCACCCACTTCCTGGCTGTCCTTGCACTTGCAGGAGAGCCCAGCGCGCTCAGTGCCACGCTGGTGGCTGGACCCACAGTCACAGATGGACAAGGGATGGCAACAAGGACAGTGCCAGAAAGGGTCCCCAGACACTCTGCTCCTGCCCACGGGGAGAGCAAAGCTGCTCCTTGCTTGCAAGCCCACCGGCCTCCCCAGCTTTCCAACAGCCTTGGAGACCTCTTCTAAAGACAAGGCTCATGTTGCCGCCGAAAGAGCCATTTCTTGCCCCAGTCCTCACTCAGCCTGCCCGTACGGGCAGGGGTTGCTGCAGGCTGCCTGAAGCAGGGGATCCCCAGCGTCCACAGGGGTTTCCCCATCGACAACACCTCCACAACCTCCCCAAGGTCCCCAAGGGAGCACAGAGGCCCCGCGGAGCCCTGTGGGGT